CCGGGCGCGGCACCAGCAGATGTCAGGGGACGCGGCAGTAGAGAAGAGGCCTTCTCGAACTGGGGGCAAAGTCATCAAGTCAGCCTCAGCCACTGCCTTATCTGTCATGATTCCTGCAGGTAACGCTGGGCCCCTGCCCCCCCGCCATTTGAGGCAGGACAGACCAATGAAAATGCTGCATATTCCCTGTCCACCGTGATTGGCTCCAGGCTGGACCAATGAGAGGCTGCTCTGCCACTTACACTTGGGAGGAGGGAGGAGCAGATACAGGGAGATGTGTGTCTTCTTGGTTCTGATTTCTGACCACGGTTGTATGTCTGTAGTGGACCCACATGGAAGCTCACCCCTTGCTAGTCCCATGTCTCCACGATCTCTGTCCTCCAACCCATCCTCACGGGACTCCTCACCCAGCCGGGACTACTCACCAGCTGTCAGTGGGCTCCGCTCCCCCATAACCATCCAGCGCTCGGGCAAGAAGTATGGCTTCACACTGCGTGCCATCCGTGTCTACATGGGTGACTCGGATGTCTATAGTGTCCACCACATTGTCTGGGTGAGTACTCATGGGTGGAGTCTCTATCACAGAGTGGAGGCTGGGGGGGAAAAGGCCCCTCCAGCTCAAACCATTTAGCCTGGGTGAGACACCTCTGTGACCCTCTATCCCTCTTCCCTCTCTGAACCTGTTTATTTTTATTTTTCTTTTTTATTTTAGGCGGAGTCTTGCTCTGCCGCCAGGCTAGAGTGCAGTGGCACAATCTTGGCTCACTGCAACCTCCACCTCCTGGGTTCAAGCCATTCTCCTGCCTCAATCTTCCGAGTAGCTGGGACTACAGATAGCCACGTGCCACCACGCCCAGCTAATTTTTGTATTTTTAGTAGAGACGGGGTTTCACCATGTTGGCTAGGATGGTCTCGATCTCTTGACCTCGTGATCCGCCCACCTCAGCCTCCCAAAGTGCTAGGATTACAGGCGTGAGCCACAGCACCTGGCCGAGTCTGTTTCTTCATCTGCAAAATGGGGAGAATAGTCCAGGCGCAGTGGCTCAGGCCTGTAATCCCAGCACTTTGGGAGGCTGAGGTGGTCAGATCGCTGGAGGTCAGGAGTTCGAGACCAGCCTGGCCAACATGGTGAAACCCCGTCTCTATTAAAAATACAAAAATTGGCCAGGCGCAGTGGCTCATGCCTGTAATTCCAGCACTCTGGGAGGCTGAGGCGGGCAGATCACGAGGTCAGGAGTTCGAGACCAGCCTGACCAACATGGTGAAACCCCATCTCTACTAAAAATACAAAAAAAAAAAAAAAACAAAAAAACCCACCAAAAAACAAAAAAAAACCCACAAAAACTAGCCGGGTGTGGTGGCAGGTGCCTATAATCCCAGCTACTCAGGAGGCTGAGATAGGAGAATCACTTGAACCCAGGAGGCAGAGATTGCAGTGAGCCGAGATCGTGCCATTGCACTCCAGCCTGGGTGACAGAGCAAGAGACTCCGTCTCAAAAAATAAAAATAAAAAAATAATTAGCTGGAGGTAGTGGCGCATGCCTATAATCCCAGCTACTTGGGAGGCTGAGGCAGGAGAATCGCTTGAACCTGGGAGGCGGGTGTTGCAGTGAGCCAAGATCACGCCACTGTGCTCCAGCCTGGGTGACAGAGTGAGACTCCGTCTAAAAAAAAAAAAAAAAAAAAAATGGGTAGGAATAGTTGTTATTTCTCAAGGTGTTATCAGGATTCTAGTGCATGGAGAACTAAGTGTACTGCATATAAGTTTAGGAGCTTTCCTTGTTACCAATCCCACTAACCCTGCCCCTGTGGGGTGCTCTTTCCCCAGCACGTGGAGGAAGGAGGCCCAGCCCAGGAGGCAGGACTCTGTGCTGGGGACCTCATCACCCACGTGAATGGGGAGCCTGTGCATGGCATGGTGCATCCTGAGGTCGTGGAGCTAATCCTTAAGGTGAGTGCAGGGAAGGAAGCACCCTGGGCAGAGGGTAGGGGAGGCCTGAGCAACCCCTAGCAGAGTATTTTCCCCCATTCTTCCCCCAGAGTGGCAACAAGGTAGCAGTGACCACAACGCCCTTCGAAAATACCTCTATCCGCATTGGTCCCGCAAGGCGCAGCAGCTACAAGGCCAAAATGGCTCGGAGGAACAAACGACCCTCCGCCAAGGAGGGCCAGGAGAGGTGGGCACAGCTGTAAACAGCTTAATCTTTGAGCAGTAGGTGGAACTCAGGCGGGAGGGGCACAGGTGAGGATGGAGAAGGGAAGAGCACGGGAAAGGTGGCGGGAACAAGTGACCAACAAGCAAAGAGAAGAGGACAAACAATTAAGAGGGGCTGCGGGCTGGGCGCGGTAGCTCACACTTGTAATCTCAGCACTTTGGGAGGCCGAGATGGGCAGATCTGGGGATCAAGAGTTCGAGACCAGTCTGGCCAATATGATGAAACCCTGTCTCTACTAAAAATACAAAAATTAAGGCCGGGCGCGGTGGCTCACGCCTGTAATCCCAGCACTTTGGGAGGCCGAGGCGGGCGGATCATGAGGTCAGGAGATCGAGACCATCCTGGCTAACACGGTGAAATCCCGTCTCTACTAAAAATACAAAAAAATTAGCCGGTCGTGGTGGCGGGCGCCTGTAGTCCCAGCTACTCGGGAGGCTGAGGCAGGAGAATGGCGTGAACCCGGGAGGTGGAGCTTGCAGTGAGCCGAGATCGGACCAGTTTGGATGAGTGTTTGTAGCCAGGATTGGGAGTGGCCTAAAGTTGGGCGGGGCCTGAAGTAGGAGGAGCTAAAGGACGTTCTATCTTGATAGGTGGGTTGTAGCGGAAGAGGGAGGAGCTAGAGAGGTGGGCGGGGCAGAATAGGTTGGTTTTGTTTGGATGCTTGTTTCTAGGTTGGACTAGGAGTGGCCAAAGCGGGGGTGGGGACTGAAGTGGGAGGAGCCAAGCAGCACTGAGCTAAAGGAAGTTCTTTGTCTTGATAGGTGGGTTGTATCTGGAGAGGGAAGGGCCAGAAGGGGTGGGAGGTTACAGTGGTGAGACCGTGAAGTGGGAGGAGCCCTGAGCTCCGGCTTCCAGGTCAAAGACACTTGGCACCCTCCCTGTCCCGCAGCAAGAAGCGCAGCTCCCTCTTCCGGAAGATCACGAAGCAGTCGAACTTGCTGCATACTAGCCGCTCGCTGTCGTCGCTGAACCGCTCGCTGTCATCCAGCGATAGTCTCCCGGGCTCGCCTACGCACGGGCTGCCGGCACGCTCGCCCACGCACAGCTACCGCTCCACGCCTGACTCCGCCTACCTAGGTATTACCTCTTGCACCTGCGCCGGGACCTGGCTGGTGCTCGGGCTGGTGCGCAGGGTGGCCTGGCTGGTGCTCGGGCTGTATTCACTCGCTTCACCTCCTGTCACCTGCAGGCGCCTCATCCCAGAGCAGCTCCCCAGCCTCAAGCACGCCTAACTCGCCTGCGTCGTCCGCGTCGCACCACATTCGGCCCAGCACGCTGCACGGACTGTCGCCAAAGCTCCACCGCCAGTACCGCTCTGCGCGATGCAAGTCGGCCGGCAACATCCCTCTGTCGCCGCTGGCACACACGCCGTCCCCCACGCAGGCGTCACCGCCGCCACTGCCGGGCCACACAGTGGGCAGCTCGCACACTACGCAGAGCTTCCCGGCCAAACTGCACTCATCGCCTCCAGTCGTGCGCCCGCGCCCCAAGAGTGCCGAGCCCCCTCGCTCGCCGCTCCTCAAGCGAGTGCAGTCGGCCGAGAAGCTGGGAGCCTCCTTGAGCGCGGACAAGAAGGGCGCACTGCGCAAACACAGCCTCGAGGTGGGCCACCCGGATTTCCGCAAGGACTTCCATGGCGAGCTGGCGCTGCATAGCCTTGCCGAGTCCGACGGCGAGACGCCCCCAGTCGAGGGCCCTGGCGCGCCCCGGCAGGTCGCCGTCCGCCGCCTGGGCCGACAGGAGTCACCTTTGAGCCTGGGCGCGGACCCATTGCTGCCCGAGGGTGCCTCCAGGCCACAAGCATCGAGCAAGGAGAAGGAATCCCCGGGGGGCGCCGAGGCGTGCACCCCGCCCCGCGCGACGACCCCCGGGGGCCGGACCCTGGAGCGGGATGTCGGCTGCACGCGGCATCAGAGCGTGCAGACGGAGGATGGCACTGGCGGGATGGCCAGGGCTGTAGCCAAGGCGGCGCTGAGCCCGGTGCAGGAACACGAGACGGGCCGGCGCAGCAGTTCTGGCGAGGCGGGCACGCCCCTGGTACCCATTGTAGTAGAGCCTGCGCGGCCTGGGGCTAAGGCTGTAGCGCCTCAGCCTCTGGGCACGGACTCCAAGGGGTTGCAGGAACCCGCACCCCTGGCGCCTTCCGTGCCCGAGGCCCCCAGGGGCCGGGAGCGCTGGGTGTTGGAAGTGGTGGAGGAGCGCACCACGCTGAGCGGGCCTCGCTCCAAGCCTGCCTCCCCAAAGCTCTCCCTGGAGCCCCAGACACCCTCCCTAGCCCAGGCGAAGTGCAGTGCACCCAGCAGTGCAGCAACCCCAGCCCCACCGTCTTCCCTCTTGGGCTCGGGCACCAAGCCTGAAGTGGGGCTGACCTCCCGGTGCCCTGCTGAAGCTCTGCCCCCAGCAGGCCTGACCAAAAAAGGAGTGTCCAGTCCCGCACCCCCGGGACCATAGCTAAGGTGGGCGTTGGCCCTTCGCTGTACAGCCTCCTGTATACATATGTACACATATAAATAAAGTGCGTCCGTGCTGCGTGAGTTTTCTGGGGCTCACTCCAGGCAAGGCGAGACATCATCACACGACCTCACCCCATGCCCAGGTGCTTTTTGGGAGGTGGGACTCCAGTTCTGGTTACCATGGAGAGTGGAAGGAATTTTGGATAGACACCTCCTGTGGTCCCACTTCTGGTCTCACCTCTGCACCAACTGTCCCCAAACCTTTAGGGGGAGAATTGATGCTGCGATGCTCTTGTGTCCCAGCGTCCACCTGAAGAAAAGGTTAACAGGCTCGTCCACCAATTTCCATTTATTTACTCCTCAACAATCCTGATGGCAGGTATTATGTTTCCATTTTGCAGACAGACTGTGTCACAGAGCAGTTAAGGCACACAATCAAGGTAATACAGCTAGGAAGGGGATGAACTGGGATTCAAAATCAAGTCCAAACTGGTTCCTGAGCCCTTATATTTTCTTTTCCTTTTTTTTTTTTTTTTTTTTTGAGATGGAGTCTCATTCTGTCACCCAGGCTGAAGTGCCGTGGCGTTATCTCAGTTCATGGCAACCTCTGCCTCCTGGGTTCAAGCAATTCTCCTGCCTCAGCCTCCCGAGTAGCTGGGACCACAGACACATGCCACCATGCCTGGCTAAGTTTTAAATATTTTTTTTTTTTTTTTTTTTTTTTTGAGACGGAGTCTCCCTCTGTTGCCCAGCCCAGGCTGGAGTGCAGTGGCGCGATCTCGGCTCACTGCAAGCTCCGCCTCCCGGGTTCACGCCATTCTCCTGCCTCAGCCTCCCGAGTAGCTGGGACTACAGGCGCCCACAACCACGCCCGGCTAATTTTTTGTATTTTTAGTAGAGACGGGGTTTCACCGTGGTCTCGATCTCCTGACCTTGTGATCCGCCCGCCTCGGCCTCCCAAAGTGCTGGGATTACAGGCGTGAGCCACCGCGCCCGGCCAATTTTTAAATATTTTTAATGGATATGGGGTTTCACCATGTTGGCCAGGCTGGTCTTGAACTCCTGACCTCAAGTGATCCACCCATCTCAGCCTCCCAAAGTGCTGGAGTTACAGATGTGAACCACTGCGCCCACCCCCCTACCTATTTTTTTTTTTTTTTTGAAACAGGGTCTTGCTATGTGCCGGAGGTTGGAGTAATCATAGTTCACCGTGACCATGATCTCCCTGGTTCAATCATTCCTCTGGCTTCAGTAGCTGGGACTACAGGCGTTTATCGCCATGCCGGACTAACTTTTTTTTAAGTTCTAGTAGAGCTGCAGTCTCACTATGTTGCCCAGGCTGGTCTCAAATTCCTGAGTTCAAGTGATCCTCCCTCCTTGGCTTCCCAAAGTGCTGGGATTACATACATGAGCCACTGCACCTGGCCGTGAGGGTTAGATCTTATAATGTCTGCTGGGCTTCCTGGCCATGCCATTACAGGGCTGGTAGTTCTTCACCAGCGGCTGGAAGGCCTTCCAGAGGGCTGGCAGCTGGGCACACAGCGTGCCCCCACCCCGTTGCTCCTCTCCCTGGTTCCGATTCATGTCACCCACGCACGTCCAGGGCCCTTTTGGGGACACGCACCATTTGGAGTGGTCCTCTGTGCTGTTGAAGCTTGGGCCACCCGGTCCAGGGAAAGCTATCTGGTTCACATTCAGAACCTGCCAGATATCCGAGCAGTTAGAGGGCAGGACGCCTACAGTTTTGTGCCAGAACTGGACCTGCAGGTTGGTACCAAGGGCTGCCGCCAACCAGCCAGAGTACAGGTCTACAAAGGATGGAGAGAGGGCACAGGTAAGGTCAGGGCCACTGCTAGGGAGTCCCTAGGCCACTTCCCCTCTTTCAGCTCAGTTTCCATATTTCTTTTTTTGTTTCTTTTTTTGACGTGGAGTCTTGCTCTGTCACCCAGGCTAGAGTGCATTGGTGCAATCAAGGCTCATTGCAACCCCTGCCTCCCAGGTTTAAGTGATTCTCCTGCCTCAGCCTCCTGAGTAGTTGGGACTACAGGAATGCGCAACCACATCCGGTTAATTTTTTAATAAAGAGACAGGGGTTTCACCATGTTGGCCAGCTGGTCTCAAACACCTGATCTCAAGCAATCTGCCCACCTGGGTCTCCCAAAGTGTTGGGACTACAGGCATGTGTCACCGAGCCCTGCCATAGTTTCCATATTTCTGAGCTCCATTGTCAATTCCCAGCCCTGGGAATGATGACATTAATATTAACTGCCCTTCCCAGATTTTTTTTTTTTTTTTTTTTTTTGAGACAGAGTCTTGCTCTGTCGCCCAGGCTGGGGTGCAGTGGCTGGATCTCAGCTCACTGCAAGCTCCGCCTCCCGGGTTTAGACCATTCTCCTGCCTCAGCCTCCCGAGTAGCTGGGACTACAGGCGCCCGCCACCTCGCCCGGCTAGTTTTTTGTATTTTTTAGTAGAGACGGGGTTTCACCGTGTTAGCCAGGATGGTCTCGATCTCCTGACCTCGTGATCCGCCCGTCTCGGCCTCCCAAAGTGCTGGGATTACAGGCTTGAGCCACCGCGCCCGGCCCCAGATTTTTTTTTTTTGAGATGGAGTCTCACTCTGTCACCTAGGCTGGAGTGCAGTGGTGCAATCTTGGCTCACTGCAAGCTCTGCCTCCTGGATTCAAGCAATTCTCCTGCCTCAGCCTCCTGAGTAGCTGGAATTACTATAGGTGCACGTCACCACACCTGGCTAATTTTTGTATTTTTAGTAGAGATGGGATTTCACCATGTCGGCCAGGCTGCTCTCAAACTCCTGACCTCGTAATCTGCCAGCGCCTGCCACCACGCCCAGCTAATTTTTTTTTTTTTCTTTTTTTTTTTGAGGCGGAGTCTCACTGTGTCGCCCAGGCTGGAGTGCAGTGGCCGGATCTCAGCTCACTGCAAGCTCCGCCTCCCGGGTTTACGCCATTCTCCTGCCTCAGCCTCCCGAGTAGCTGGGACTACAGGCGCCCGCCACCTCGCCCAGCTAGTTTGTTTTATTTTTTAGTAGAGACGGGGTTTCACCGTGTTAGCCAGGATGGTCTCAATCTCCTGACCTCGTGATCCGCCCGTCTCAGCCTCCCAAAGTGCTGGGATTACAGGCTTGAGCCACCGCGCCCGGCCGAGAATTTTTGTATTTTTAGTAGAGATGGAGTTTCACCATGTTAGCCAGACTGGTCTTGAACTCCTGGGCTCAAGTCATCCACCTGCCTCGGTCTCCCAAAATGTTGGGATTATAGGCGAGCCACTGCGTCCAGCCCTAAGTGTTTTTGATTAATTAATTATTTATTTTGAGACCAGGTCTCATTCTGACACCCCGGCTGGAGTGCAGTGGCAGGATCACGACTCCCTTGCAGCCTCGACCTCCTGGGCGCTATTCTCCCATCTCAGCCTGCTGAGTAGTAGGGACTACACGTGTGCCACCATGCCCCACTAATTAAAATTTTTCTTATAGAGATGGGGTCCCACTATGTTACCCGGGCTAGTCTCAAACTCCTGAGCTCAAGTGATCCTCCTGCCTAGACTGGGATTACAGGTGTGAGCCACTGTGCCTGGCCTATTTATTTTTATTTATTTATTTATTTATTTATTTATTTATTTATTTTTGAGGCACAGTCTCGCTCTGTCGCCCAGGCTGGAGGTCAGTGGCATGATCTCTGCTCACTGCAAGCTCCGCCTCCCAGGTTCATGCCATTCTCCTGCCTCAGTCTCCCAGGTAACTTGGACTGCAGGCACCTGCTACCATGCCCGGCTAATTTTTGTACTTTTAGTAGAGATGGGGTTTCACCGTGTTAGCCAGGATGGTCTTGATCTACTGACCTCGTGATCCGCCTGCCTCAGCCTCCCAAAGTGCTGGGACTACAGACGTGAGCCACCACACTCAGCCTATTTATTTATTTATTTTTAAATAAAGACAGGGTCTTGCTCTGTCACCCAGGCTGGAGTGCAGTGGAGTCATCATAGCTCACTGTAGCCTGAAACTCTGGGCTCAATTTATCCTCCTGCCTCAGCCTTCCAAGTTGCCTGGCTAATTTTTAATTTTGTAGAGATGGGGTCTTGCTATGTTGCCCAGGCTTGTCTTGAACTCCTGTCTTCAAATGACCCTCCTGCCTCAGCCTCCCAAGTAACGGATTACAGGAGTGAGGCACCACCTCTGGTGCCCAAATGCCTTATATGTACCACTTCATTCATAACAATTTTTAAAGTAGATGTCAGTATCCCCATTTTTTAGATGAGTAGACTGAGGCTCAGGTGAAATTATACATCACACAGCTAGAACCCAGGGTTTGAACCCAGGTCTGTTCACTGCTTATGTGATTATAGCTCCCAATCAGACCCGGTCTCTACCCCTGACTCGAACTCAGCCATGGCGGCACCAGTCACCCCTTCTGCAGAGAAGGAGCTCTCCACCCTCAACCTTCAGACTCACCATCTCCAAATTTGCTAAACTTGGCAAAGCTCTGGAAAACAGCCCCGGCCTGGGATGTGAGTGTGACGCTGCTGTTCCAGGGTTCTTGGCTAACGTGGTAGCCCTGGATCACATTCTCCAAGTCGGGGAATTCCTGGGCGAAGATCCCTTCCAGCTGGTAGTCATAAACCTGGGGGTAGGTGTAGGTCAGCTGCTTGCCTGGAGGACAAGGGGAGGAGGAAATGCAAGATCATTCCAGGTTCTGGTCGGTAAACCCAGGACGCATCCTGTGTCCCTGACTCCACTCACCAATCTTCGAGAACTGAGTGAAGGGAAAAGACACACAGAGCAGGGTCTGCCCGTAGGTACAGGCGCTATGAGGCCACCTGTATGCAGCAGAGGAGGCCAGTGGAGGGAAGTCAGGTACGCTGTGGACCAGCCAGAAGCCTCCGTCGTGGTCGAGGAGCAGGACACCTGGACCAAAAGAAGGCATTAGAGGAGGTCGGGCGCGGTGGCTCATGCCTGTAATCCCAGCACTTTGGGAGACCAAGGCGGACGGATCACCTGAGGTCGGAGTTAGAAATCAGCCTGGCCGGCAGGGCGCGGTGGCTCAAGCCTGTAATCCCAGCACTTTGGGAAGCTGAGACGGGCGGATCACAAGGTCAGGAGATGAAGACCATCCTGGCTAACACGGTGAAACCCCGTCTCTACTAAAAAATACAACAAACTAGCCGGGCGAGGTGGCGGGCGTCTGTAGTCCCAGCTACTCGGGAGGCTGAGGCAGGAGAATGGCGTAAACCCGGGAGGCGGAGCTTGCAGTGAGCTGAGATCCGGCCACTGCACTCCAGCCTGGGCGACAGAGCGAGACTCCGTCTCAAAAAAAAAAAAAAAAAAAAAAGAAAAGGAATCAGCCTGGCCAGCATGGTGAAACCCCATCTCTACTAAAAATACAAAAATTAGCTGGGCGTGGTGGTGGATGCCTGTCATCCCAGCTACTCAGGAGGCTGAGGCAGGAGAATCGCTTGAACCTGGGAGGCGGAGGTTGCGGTGAGCTGAGATCCGCCACTACACTCCACCCTGGGCCACAGAGCAAGATTTCGTCTCAAAAACAAGTAAGTAAGTAAATAAATAAATAAATAAAAATTTTAAAAAAGAAGGCAGGCCTCACACAGTGTCTCATGCCTGTAGTCCCAGCACTTTGGGAAGCTGAGGCGGGTAGATCACCTGAGGTCAGGGGTTCAAGACCAGCCTGGTCAACATGGAGAAACCTCATCTCTACTAAAAATACAACATTAACTGGGCGTGGTGGCACATGCCTGTAATCCCAGCTACTTGGGAGGCTGATGCAGGAGAATCGCTTGAACCCAGGAGGCGGAGGTTGCAGTGAGCTGAGATCGCACCACTGCCCTCCAACCTGGGCAACAAAAGCGAAACTCCTTCTCAAAAAAAAAAACAAAGGCAATTAGAGGGTATTGCTCCAGGCCTCCCAGCAAGGTCATCTGCAACCAGGAACACCCTCAGTTTGCAGCGGGACTTAGAGAGGGTGCCAGCAGTGTTAGAACCACAGCTGAGCTTAGTTTTTGCAGGCCTAAACTCCTATAGTCCAGAATAACGCCAAGATTAATATAAGGTAGGGAAACAGGTCAGTTGTGGTGGCTCATGCCGGCAATCGCAGCACATTAAAAGGTGAAGGTAGGCCGGGCGCGGTGGCTCAAGCCTGTAATCCCAGCACTTTGGGAGGCCGAGACGGGCGGATCACGAGGTCAGGAGATCGAGACCATCCTGGCTAACACAGTGAAACCCCGTCTCTACTAAAAATACAAAAAAACGGCCGGGCGCGGTGGCTCAAGCCTGTAATCCCAGCACTTTGGGAGGCCGAGACGGGTGGATCACGAGGTCAGGAGATCGAGACCATCCTGGCTAACACGGTGAAACCCCATCTCTACTAAAAAATACAAAAAAAACTAGCCGGGCGAAGTGGCGGACGCCTGTAGTCCCAGCTACTCGGGAGGCTGAGGCAGGAGAATGGCGTGAACCCGAGAGGAGGAGCTTGCAGTGAGCTGAGATCCGGCCACTGCACTCCAGCCTGGGTGACAGAGCAAGACTCCCTCTCAAAAAAAAAAAAAACAAAAAACAAAAAAACTTAGCCGGGCGAGGTGGCAGGCGCCGGTAGTCCCAGCTACTCGGGAGGCTGAGGCAGGAGAATGGCGTGAACCCGGGAGGCGGAGCTTGCACTGAGCTGAGATCCGGCCACTGCACTCCAGCCTGGGTGACAGAGCTAGACTCCGTCTCAAAAAAAAAAATAAATAAAAATAAAAGGTGAAGGTGGGTGGATTGCTTGAACCAGAACTTCGAGACTAGCCTGGGCAACATGGCGAAACTCCACTCTACAAAAAATACAAAAAGTAGGCCAGGCGTGGTGGCTCACACCTGTAATCCCAGCACTTTGGGAGGCCGAGGCAGGTGAATCACCTGAGGTCAGGAGTCCGAGACCAGCCTGGCCAACCTGGTGAAACCCCGTCTCTACTAAAAAATACAAAAATTAGCCGGGCGTGGTAGGGCACATCTGTAATCTCAGCTACTCCAGAGGCTGAGGCAGAAGAATCACTTGAACTGGGGAGACGGAGATTGCAGTGAGCTGAGATTGCGCCACCAAACTCCAGCCTGGGAGATAGAGAGTGTCGCAAAAAAAAAAAAAAAAAAAAAAGCCAGGCGTGGTGGTGGGTACCGACAGGCCTGGTACTTGGGAGGCTGAGGTAGGAGGATCACCTGAGCCCTGGGAGGTCAAGGCTGCAGTGAGCTGTGATACTGCACTCCAGCCTGGGTGACTCTAGGTGAGACCTTGTCTCAAAGAAAATAAAATGAGGGAAAAAGATGACTAAGGTCTGATAGGGGAGATCTCCCACCCGGCTATGGAGATCAGGGGTGAGTTTGGAAAAATGTATAGGAACTTGGCTGGGCAGGGTGGCTCATTCCTGTAATCCCAGCACTTTGGGAGGCCAAGGTGGGTAGATCACTTGATGTAGATCACAGGAGTTCAAGACCAACCTGGTCAACATGATGAAACCTCGTCTGTACCAAAAATACAAAAATTAGCCTGGTGTGACAGCGGGCGCCTTTAATCCCAGCTACTTGGGAGGCTGAGACAGGAGAATTGCTTGAACCCCAGAGGCAGAGATTGCAGTGAGCCAAGATTGTGCCACTGCACTCCAGCTTGGGTGACAGAGTGAACTCCCTCCGTCTTAAAAAAACAAAGAAAAAAAAATGTTGGAGGGAATAGATGCCCAGGGTCTGACAGTGCGGATCTCCCCAGCCACCCAATGCAGTCAGGGGTTAGCCTGGAAAAATGTATAGGGACCCAAGTCTCTCCCCAACCCCCAATCCAGTCCTCACCCTTCGTGTGCCCACGTTTGGAAGAGTTGTGAGCCTTGCTGGCTTGAGGCGGTTGGTCATTGTAGAGCAGGAAGGCGAGCTGGGGGCGAATAAACGGAGACAACGTGAAATTCCTCCCAGGCAGGGCGGCCCTAGAGTTTCACCCTTACTTGGCCCCGGGCCCCCTTCACCTGGCTGCTGTTGCTGCTCCGGTACAGCGGCTGTAGGCTTCGGCCCACGGCCCCCTCCGGGCTGTCGATGAGTCCCCTGCCGTCCCGCCAGCCTCCGGAGCTCTCGTCCAGATACTTGTACTGCAGCCCTCTCTGCGCCGCCTCCCCGGACCCTCTAAGAGCTGGCAGCTTGTAGACCACGAACCTGGAGGTCAGAGAATGCACAGAAATAGGGGAGAGGGAAGAGAAAGCACCCCAGGGTTCCCCGAGGAGGCAGCCATCCCGGTCGAGTGACCCCCGCCGGATCCCGGGGCGATGGTAGGCCCCCGCTGCACACTCACCAGTCTACAGGCTGCCCAGAGTCCCCGTAGCAGGTCAGGGCCCCGGCGGGGACGCACAGCAGCGCGGCCAGCAGCAGCGGGATCATCGCTGCTATGGGGCTGAGATCCAGGAATCTGTGTCGGGGCTGCGGGGCGATGGGTTGCAACAGAGGCCAGGACTGGCACCTGGCACCTTTTATTTCCCTAAACTTGCCTGGGAACCCGGGCGGGGACATCACGAGGGTAGAGACTCCTCCCCCGAGACGCGACGCTGCGTTTTGGAGAGGCAAAAGGCAGCCCCGAGTCTGCTCAGACCACGCCCACGACGGGCCAGGCGCTCCAGCGTCTCTTGGAGCCTGGTCACCGTTCCTTTTAGTGGTAGCTAATCCCAGCCCATGCACTTCTGTTCGACCCAACTCCTGCCTCGGTTTCTGGATCAGGCACAAGTTTGATTTTATTTCCAGCCCTACGACCTGGGTCCAACTCTTGTGACCTTTGTTCTTCTTCTTCTTTTTTTTTGAGATGGAGTTTCACTCTTGTCCTCTAGGCTGGAGTGCAATGGCACAATCTCGGTTCACTGTAACGTCCGCCTTCCTGATTAAAGCGATTCTCCTGCCTCAGCCTCCCGAGTAGCTGGGATTTCAGGCGCCCACCACCACGCCCGGCTAATTTTTGTATTTTTAGTAGAGACGGGGTTTTTCCATGTTGACTAGGCTGTCTCGAACTCCTGACCTCGTGATCCAACCGCCTTGGCCCCCGAAAGTGCCAGGATTACAGGAGTGAGCCACCGTACCCTGCCATGATCTTTGTTCTCTTAAGAAGCATTTGTGCTCCAGTGGATCTTCCCCTTTTTCTTTCTTGGGGTTTTTTTTTTTTTTTTCCTTCCTTCCTTTTTTTTTTTTCTTTTTTTCCCCAGACAATATCTCACTCTGTTGCCCAGGCCGGAGTGCAGTAGCATGATCTTGGCTCACTGCAACCTCTGCCTCCCCAGTTCAAGTGATCCTCTCACCTCAGCCTCCTGAGTAGCTGGGATCACAGGCACATGCCAATATGCCCAGTTAATTTTTGTAGTTTTTTTGGAAACACGGTTTCACCATGTGGCTCAGGCTGAACTCCTGAGTTCAAGGGATCCACCTGCCTTGCCTCCCAAAGTGCTGGGATTACAGGCATGTAATCCACCCCACCCAGACTCCCCTTTTTCATTCTGCACGTTTTCCCCAGGACTCCCTGAGCTGGCAAAGACGTGACTTTATGTTTGTTTTTTGTTATTTTGAGACAGGATAATGGTTTCTCACCCAGGCTAGAATGCAGTGACTCCATCACGGTTCACTGCAGCCTCAAACCTACTGGGCTCAAGTGATCCTCCCAGGTAGCTGGTACTCCAGGCCTGTGCCACCACGCCCAGATAATTGTTCATTGTGGTGATGAGGGTCTCACTATGTTGCTCAGGCTGCTCTGGAACTCCTGGGTTCAAGTGATTCTCCCACCTCAGCCTCAAGGGATCATGGCAGGGCAAAGGGCTATGGGAATCTGAGTACTGGCTTGAAACTGCCTTTGCAAAAATTATAACAGAAAACCAACTCCATCTTGCCTTTAATCCCCAAACTGCCCTTGCTTGGTCATTCCTGGGTGTGGGGCCAAGCTTTTTTTTTTTTTTTTTCAGACGGAGTCTCACTCTGTTGCCCAGGCTGGAGTGCAGTGGCACGATCTCGGCTCACTGCAAGCTCCGCCTTTCCAGTTCACGCCATTCTCCTGCCTCAGCCTCCTGAGTAGCGGGGACTACAGGTGCCTGCTACCACACCCAGCTAATTTTTTGTATTTTTAGTAGAGACAGGGTTTCACCGTGTTAGCCAGGGTGGTCTCAAACTCTTGACCTTATGATCCACCCAGCTCGGCCTCCCAAAGTGCTGGGATGACAGGCGTGAGTCACCGCGCCCGGCCAACATTTTTTTTTTTTTTTTTTTTACACGTTGTCTCGCTCTGTCACCCAGGCTGGAGTCCAGTGGCATGATCTCAGCTCACTGCAACATCCGCCTCCTAGGTTCAAGCAATCCTCCTGCCTCAGCTTCCTGAGTAGCTGGGATTATAGGCATGCAGCACCATGCCCTGCTGATTTTTGTATTTTTGGTAGTGACTGGGTTTCGCCATTTTTGGTAGAGATAGGGTTTCGCCTTGGGGCTCAGGCTGGTGTTGAACTCCTGGGCTCAAGTGATCTGCCCACCTCGGCCTGCCAAATTGCTGGGATTAAAGAGGGAGCCACCTATGCCCGGCCCCAAGCTAATTTTGGGAGAAATTTAGTTTATAGCTTAAATGATAATAGCCCTTCCCCAAACTAAACTGCCTTTGTAGAAAAAATGAAAGGGCACTAGGTTAGGAGGATGAGAGGAGCCTGAATTCTGCTAAAATGTAGTTGTTGTAGTAGTTAAACTATAACCAGCCATTATTCTGGCCGGGTGCAGTGTCTCACGCCTGTAATCCCAGCACTTTGAGAGGCCGAGGCCGGGGGGTGACTTGAGGTCAGGATTTCGAAACCAGCCTGGCCAATATTTCGAAACCCCGTCTCTTCTAAAAATACAAAAATTAGCCAGGCGTGGTGGCACGTGCCTGTAATCCCAGATACTCGGTAGGCTGACACAGGAGAATCACTTGAACCCAGGAAGCAGAGGTTGCAGTGAGCCGAGATGGCGCCACTGCACTCCAGCCTGGCGAGAGCAAGACTATGTCTCAAAAACAAAAACAAAGATGGCCAGCCATTATTCTGGAGGTCACAAGGTTTGCAACTTCCCCAGTTATTTCTGCAAATAACATGAGTATTGCAAAACCTTACACTGGCCTTTTTAGATGTCTTTTTAGGCTTTTTGTATATCTGAAACTGGATGACCCCACCCAGACTAGTGACTGTATGGTCCCTATCCAAAAGCTGACTCAGCAACTGTTTTCCGCAGTCCCATGATTGCATCAAGACACCCATTCCCTAGCCCTTCTGCCCATCAAACTGTTCTTGAATAACCCTAGCCTCTGAATTTTCAGGGAGGCTGATTCAAGTAATAAAACTCCCATCTCCCATTTAGCTGGCTGTATGTGGATTAAACTCTTTCTCTATTGCAATCCGTCTGTCTGGATAAATTGGCTCTATCTGGGCAGTGGGCAAGATGAACCCCCTGGGCAGTCGCAGGCTGTGGATTCTCAAATGCAGGGAGATGTTTGCTGTCAATGTCCCCAGGGTTTGAGGCAGAAGACAAACATGGTGCAGCCCGAACTGGGCAGGAAAAGAGAGGACAGCGAGGCCTGCAGTGCCCAAGGAGGCTTGTTGGAGTTAAGGGGTGTCACTGTAGTTTAGGAGATGAGGGTGTGTAAGGCCCTCTAATATGACCTCTAGGTTTACAGCCTCCTGCTATCTTCCAGCCTCCAAAACCCAAAAATTCAGGCAAACGCTGAAGCTTTATCTGGGAGGGGCATTTTTATAGGACCCATAACCATTGACAGTTAATATCAGCCACAATAAGGGACCTTCAGGAGCCCCTTTCTAGACCCAGGGTCTCTGGGAAGCCTCACCCCACACCCTCTTCTGCTGTCCAGGGCCATCTGGGAGCTGGTCTGAGTGTCCACTGAGTCCGTTTATTTGGTGGTCTGTCTCACTGGGTCTGCATGACAGTTTGGACATCTCTGTGTGGCTCCCTGTGGCTGAAGACTTGTCGGATTTCCGTGGGAGGCTCCCCCAGGGCTGTCTATGGGTCCGTTTTTGATATTTGGGTGAATCTTTGGGACAGCGAGTCCAGGAGAGGGTCCATTCGTGGGAAAACCACCCGGCATTGTGTCACTTGTCCGTGTAAAGAAACCACCAAACAGGCTTCTTGTCCCATCCCCAATCCCCAGGACAGTCCAAGTGCCAGGGCAGGGCTCAAAGGTGCCGCTTCATGTGCAAAGCCAGGTGGTCTGAGCGCGAAAAAGCACGTGGGCAGAGCTGGCAGCGGAAGGGGCGTTGCCCCGTGTGTTTCCTGTAGTGGCGGGTCAGCTCGTCCGAGCGCGCGAACCTCCAGCCGCAGCCTTCCCACGTGCAGGCGTATGGCTTCTCCCCTAGGGGACGAGGAAGTCATAAGCGCTATTGTCAGCCCAGTCATGTCCCCGGGTCCCCTGCATCTGGCCACACCCCTTTACTCAGTCTGGGCTGGGACTAGGATGAACAAAGTGAGGCCCCTAGGGCACAAAATTTAAGGAGGCACTCACTCTCAGAGCCAGCCAAGTCCAAGTCCCGCCCTCTGCAACCCTTCTTCCCCGGTAACTACAGCAGGTGCCACCCGCTTTCTCATGTCCGGGTCCCACCCCCTCACCTGTGTGCGTGCGCAGATGCGCCTTCAGGTGGGAGCTCTTGGTGTAGCTCTTGCCGCAACCCGGGTGCGCGCACGTGTGCGCTGCCTGCCTCTTGCGCGCCCACGAACGTCGGCCGCGCTTGGATGGCGCGGCCTCGGCTATCACACCGGGATCCCCTGCAGTCCCCCCGAGTCCAGTGCCCACCGTCCCGGGTCCCAGGCAACTCAGGAAGGAGGGGGACGTGGCGGGGCCGGGCGCGGGTCCCTGGAGCCCGCGGAAGAGCTGGAAGTGCCCTTGGTACTGAGGCGCCGGGTACACCGCGGGGTACCCGGACAGCAGCCCATAGGGGGCGCCCGACGCCGCAGGCACTGAAAGCCCGGTCCGCTGGAAGTAGCCGCCCGAAGAGCCGGCGCCGGGCCCGGGGTATACCGGTTGCAGCGCCAGCGCCTTGGGCTCGGGGGCCGGGGCTGGAGCCAGGGCTGGGCCCACGAAGGCGTCGGGAGCCGGGGCTCGCAGGGCAGGGCGCACCCAACCTGAGTGATCCTCCGAACCCAAGAGCCCAGCCACCATCCCCGGGCCGCCCGCATAGGCTCCCAGAGTCTCGGGGGGCGGCGGGTATTGCACCCCGGGGGCCTCGCTGGGCGCCAGAGCGCAGGTCTGGGGCGCGCCACCCGGCTCCGGGCCCGAGAAGTTGGTGAGGAAGAGATCCAGGTCCCAGGTGGCGTCCGCGCCCCTCTCATCGTCCTCCTCCTCCCCGGGTTGGTCCTCAGACTTCACATGGAGGGGTGGCTCCGTGGGGTCAGGAGGACCCGGGCCCATGTCCTGCGCCTCTTCGGAGCGCCACCACTGCGGGAGGGAGCAGGCAGCTTGAGGTTCGGTGGACACTGAGGTGCCCTGCCCAGGGACATCGCAGGCTGGGTACTCTTACGGGGAGAGGCTGGCCAGAGGCTTTGGAAAGGGTCCTGTTTGCCTGTCTCTCTGTCCCACTTCCCCAACACTAGCCGCCCTCTAGCCGCCCCTCTCCCCCCTCTCCCCCAGCTCCAGGGACAGAAGCCGATCAGGTCTGGCTGGAGACAGGAGATAAGACTTCCACTATCTGGAACCACACTTGGGGATGGGGGAAGGGGTAGCAGAACTGCTGGAGATGGAAAACCGGCGGGGGTTAGGGGAGAGGGTGCCAGCCTTGACTTAGTTTCCCCCTGGAACATCTCTCTCCTTCCCTGTCTCCTAAAACAAGAATAATTCCGAAATTTTGGATGTCCCCCAGACACACTCATCATTTCCCTCTGATATCTGGAAGGTTGTGAGCCTAGATCTCGTTCCTTTTTGTTTGTTTGTTTCTTGAGATAGGGTCTCACTCTTTTGCCCAGGCTGGAGTGCAGTGGTGCAGCTCACTGTATCCTTAATCTCTTGGGTTTTAATAATCCTCCTGCATCAGCCTACAGAGTACCTGGGACTACAGGCACATGCCCCCACGCCTGACTAGTTTTTGGTATTTTTTGTAGAGATGGGGTTTCACCATGTTGTCCAGGCTACCTTCGTTTTCTATTACAGAAATAGATCACACCTAGAACCTCAAGCCCCCAGACCACCCTCCTCACCCTCTGCCAGACTAAGCTGAGATCCCCTCACCTGGACTGAGTGTACCTCAGTTCTGGTTAAGTCCCTTGATTGCAGGGCAAGATGCAGGTCTGGACCCCAAGATCTGTGACTGTGGCCCTGGATCCCAGCCAGCCCACCTAGACCCCACCTTCTAGGCCCCACCTTGAGGAAGTCATCCTGTGTGTCCGGGAAGGGGCCCAGGGCGGTCAGTGTGCTGATGGAGGGCAAGGCGGTCTTGGCTGTGGCCATGGCTGGCTGGTGCCCACCCTGGGCCTCGAGCCTCCTCTTCCTTGGCTGCCTGGTGAACTCTGAGGCTGTGATAGCCCCTTCGAGGGCTCCTCTCTGCCCTTAGCTGATTGGCTGCAGCCTCTGATAAGGGGAGGCAAGGCAAGGCAAGGCAGGGGGGTCACTGTTTCTGAGGCACAAACTTCACATTGGCCTGTCTGGGGTTGGGACTTAAAGACTAACCCTGTGTCCAAAGCCAAGTCAAATATCAGGGGTTGAGGGGTTCAGGGTTTGAGGGTCCAGGTGCTGGGTAAAAGGAGACATTGGGTCTCCAAAGAAGGAGAGACTTGGGGGTCTGCCCTCAGTTTACTTTCCTGGAAAAGGCAGAAAGGGTATTCTGGGAAGAAGCTGTGGGACCCCCTGTCCCCCTGATTGAGGCTCTACAGCCCTCCCCCTCCCCAGTAAACAGCAAAAACCGTGCCGATGGCGGGACTTGGCACAAACTCCCCGCCAAGCATTATCAGACACCCCAGACGTTGGAGGCTGCTATCAGGTGGGGGCCCAGGCCAGCTAGAGCTCTGTCCTCCGGTGAAGGGGAGGGCTGGGGGTTGGGTCTTCAAATTAGCCTGGCTTTCAATTTGCCTGGGTTGGGACCTCCCAGGGTCTGAGCCCTATAGCAGGAGGACACCCCTGCCAACTGGCCCACCATTGTCTACTGGGGACTCTCGGGTGGCACTGCATGGGACTGCATGGAGGCTGGTTCAGTGCCAGCTGCTTTAGTGCGATGGGGGCAGCCATGGGAAAAGTGACCCTGTCTCGTCCTGGGTGGGATAGGACCGTTGGACCAAGCCATAGGCAGTATCTGACCTGCAGGAGACCAGTACCCTGGCTCTGGGCCTGGCTGCTCCTTGATTCTGCCCAAAATGAGGAGAGGATCTGAGTTACTACAACAGGGACCTCCACTCTGGTGCCCTGGGAGCCTGGGAAGGGGACATGGATACATATTACAGACACATAATTCATAGTCATTCATTGGAAGACTGAGGCAGGAGGATCACTTGATGCCAGGATTTCAAGACTAGCCTGGGCAACATAGAACCTATATTTCCAAAAAAAAGCTGTGAGTGGTGGCGCATGCCCATAGTCCCAGATACTTAGGAGGCTGAGATGAGAGGATCGCCTGAGTCCAGGAGGTCGGGGCTGCATTGAGCTATAATCACAACACTGCAATATGACCACACCACTGCAGTCCAGCCTGGGGGACAGAGAGCAAGACTCTGTCACTAAAAAAAAAAAAAAGAGAAAAGTTGGGTGGCCATCTTTATTCCTGGCAGATCAACCTGGGTGACATAAACAAAAACAAGGCCAGGCGCAGTGGCTTACGCCTGTAATCCCAGCACTTTGGGAAGCGGAGGTGGGGAGATTCGAGAACAGACTGGCCAACATGTTGAAGCCCTGTCTCTGCCAAAAGTACAAAAATTAGCCGGGCATGGTGGCATGTGCTTGTAATCGTGGCTACTTGGGAGGCTGAGGCTGGAGAATTGCTTGAAACTGGGAGGCGGGGGGCCAGGCGCAATGACTCACGCCAGTAATCCCAGCACTTTGGGAGGGCGAGGCTGGCAGATCACCTGAGGCCAGGAGTTCAAGACCAGCCTGGCCAACACAGTGAAACCCTGTCTCTACTAAAAATACAAAAATAGGCCGGAGATGGTGGCACATGCCTCTAATGCTAGGTACTTGGGAGGCTGAGGCACAAGAATCACTTAATCCTGGGAGGCAGAGGTTGCAGTGAGCCAAGATCACACCACTGCACTCCAGCCTGGGCTACAGAGCGAGACTCCCTGTCTAAAAAACAAAAACAAAACAGACTGGGAGCAGTGGCTTATGCCTGAAGTCCCAGCAATTTGGGAGGCCAAGGTAGGAGGAATGCTTGAGCCCAGGAGTTCGAGACCAGCTTGGGCAACATAGTGAGATCCCATCTCTAAAAACAAAAACGAAAACACAGTTACGGGACCATGCAATTGCATAATGACATGAGTTCCTGGTCCTTCAGTCACACTGATCAGATCATATAATTCCTGCACATGTAATTGTGTGTCTGTCTGTGTATATGGACTATACACAGACACACAATTCCCAGGCACTAAAACACAACCCTATGTTATATTGGTTACACAATGTCATAGCCAAACAATCCCTAAAACACAGAATTCATAATCCACAGGCAGGCACAGTTACACAGTCCTACTGACACAATTTAGCTATAATTGAGCAGACAGTCAGATACATTGTCACAGAACTTTTTCCTTTTTAGACTGTGTCTCTCTCTCTCACCCATGCTGGAATGCAGTGGCTTGATTTTGGCTCACTGCAACCTCCACCTACTGGGCTCAAGTGATTCCTCTGCCTCAGGCTCCCGAGTAGCTGGCATTACAGGTGCCTGCTACCACACAAGGCTAATTTTTTTTTTTTCTTGAGACAGAGTTTCACTCTTGTTGCCCAAGCTGGAGTGCAATGGCATGATGACGGCTCACTGCAACCTCTGCCTCCTGGGTTCAAGCAATTCTCCTGCCTCAGCCTCCCGAGTTGCTGGTATTACAGGCATCCACCACCACATCTGGCTAATTTTTTTTTTTTTTTTTTTTGAGATGGAGTCTCGCTTTGTCACCCAGGCTGGAGTGCAGTGGTGCGATCTCGGCTCACTGCAAGCTCCGCCTTCCGGGTTCACGCCATTCTCCTGCCTCAGCCTCCTGAGTAGCTGGGACTACAAGCGCGCACCACCACACCTGGCTAATTTTTTGTATTTTTAGTAGAGACGGGTTTTCACCGTGTTAGCCAGGATGGTCTCGATCTCCTGACCTCGTGATCTGCCCGCCTCAGCTTCCCAAAGTGCTGGGATTACAGGCGTGAGCCACCGCGCCTGGTGGTCTGGCTAATTTTTGTGTTTTTAGTAGAGATGGGGTTTCCCCATGTTGGCTAGGCTGGTGTCGAACTCCTGACCTCAGGTGATCCACCCGCCTTGGCCTCCCAAAGTGCTGGGATTATAGGCGTGAGCCACCTCACCCAGCCAAAACCTACACTTTATATGATCACACCACCCATCACTTTTGCAATATGTAAGTAATTATTTAGTCACACAGTTGCATAGCTACCAGTGCCCAACCATAGGGGATGCACCCAGTTAAACACAGACAACCACAAGGGCATGGCATCATAGGTCCTGAGAGACATACACATTTCTCAACGGATACACAATCAGAGTGGGTGCACCACAAACACACTACACAAAAGACAAAACAGGCGGAGTGCGGTGTCTCCCGGAGTGCGGTGGATCACAGGAGGCCAGCCTGACCAACATGGTGAAACCTTGTCTCTACTAAAAATAAGAAAAAAGGCTAGGCATGGTGGCTCACAAACCTGTAATACCAGCTACTTGGGAGGCTGAGGCAGGAGAATTGCTTGAACCTGGTAGGCAGAGGTTGCAGTGAGCCAAGACTGCATCACTGCACTCCAGCCTGGGCAACAGAGCGAGACTCTGTCTCAAAATACATAAATAAATAAATACATTTAATTAAACAAACAAACAAACAAAACCATAAAAATGGGCAACGAGCAGCCCTCGGAGTTGTTCTGCCTATGGAGGTTGCAGTGAGAAGAGATGGCGTCACTGCACTCCAGCCTGGGCAACAGAGTGAGACTCCGTCTCAAAAAAAAAAAAAATTAGCCAGGCATGAAGGCATGCTTCAGTGGTCCCACCTACTTGGAGGCTGAGGTGGGAGGATTGCTCAAGCCCGGAAGGTGGAAGCTGCAGTGAGCTATGATCGCTCCACTGCACTCCATTCTGGGCGACAGAATGAGACCCTGTCTAAAAAGAAAAAACAAAAACAAAACAAAACAACCCACATAGACTCACAGAATCATACAAGTACACACACACACACACACACACACAGTCACAAGTATCGACATGTGCTTCTTTTTTTTTTTTTTTTTTTTCTGAGACGGAGTCTCGCTCTGTTGCCCAGGCTGGAATGCAGAGGTGCGATCTCGGCTCACTGCAAGCTCCGCCTCCCGGGTTCACGCCATTCTCCTGCCTCAGCCTCTCGAGTAGCTGGGACTACAGGCGCCCGCCACCTCGCCCGGCTAGTTTTTTGTATTTTTAGTAGAGATGGGGTTTCACCGTGTTAGCCAGGATGATCTCGATCTCCTCACCTTGTGATCCGACCGCCTCGGCCTCCCAAAGTGCTGGGATTACAGGCGTGAGCCACCGCGCCCGGCCTACATGCTTCTTGGGACAGACTGGCAGACAAGTTTACTAAGATCGCCCACTCGGAGATCATCTTCCCCATAACCAGCGCTCAGAGAACTCGAGACTGGCCTCCTGGGCTGGGGAGGAGGCCTAGCGCTGGCGCCAGAATTTCTTTGTTTAATTCTTGGCTCCATCCGCACACACCCCCTGCAACTGACCAACCAGGAGTGGGCCGAGCACTTTTCTACGGCCAATAAGAGGAGAAACCCAGCTGGCCAATCGATTTCCCTCACTCGTCTTCCGCCCCTACCCCGTCCGCTTCTTAAAGGGGCTAACCTATCTCTGTATGGGCCCTCCTATTTCCACAGGCAAGGCTACCTTAGCCCTTTTAAAAGGCAGAGCGAGGAGGGGGCCGGATTCTACGAGGAACCAATGAAAAGCCTCACTCGGCCTCCGCTCCTCCCACTTTTTGCTGAGGTCAAAGGCCTGCGTCAGTTGCACTCTAGCCTCGGCAGTGAGCTGGGAGGTACCAGGTAAGGAAGGTGAGGTGGCTCCAGCCGTGGGTGAGAGGAGCTCGCTGTGACACCCCGGTTCCTGTAGGTCGCCGTCGTTGCTCCGCTCGCTTTGAGAGAGCATGGCCCTGAGAGGCGTCTCCGTGCAGCTGCTGAGCCGCGTTCCCGGCCTGCGCGTCTTTCGCACGTGGGTCTCGTCGGCGGCGCAGACCGGTCAGTGCGGGGTCGGGAGTGTGGAGGGAAGGAGTGAGGAACTGGGGGCTTAGGGACTTTCCGGGGTTGACTTTCCCGTTCTGTGCTTGCAGAGAAAGGCGGGAGGA